TTTTTTTTTTTTTTTTTTTTTTTTTTTTTGCTTTCAGGGATAGAATACAACTCATCAACTACAGATAATTTCTTCCTGGAATTATTGAATCACCGATCGGAAATACACCTAGGACATATTCCCTTCTATGTTCCCTTTAGCACCCAGTGACTGGGATGGCTTTGTGCATAACATGCACACCCTGAAATGGGTCAGTCATGCATGTGGGGAGGAGATGAGAAAGGTGACCCAATGCTGGACGGTTGGCACGGAAAGATATCTTTTTGCTACCCCTCTGTGTTTCTGGATGTGACTTCTAACATCTTGTGGCTGCTCTCTGAATAGTCGTACTCTTCTTGTGGGTTACAGGTGTGTAAGCATGAACTTTGCTCTCCTCTCCTAGAAATGCTCAGGGGTGAACTGCCAGGCCCCATCTTGGTTTCCCCAGGCTCCAGAGACTCGTACTGCAATTGATGTTTAGGTTTGTAGAACATTGTTTTGTAAGTATCCTAAAAGTATGTTCTTACTCAATTCTCAATACTTCGCAAAGTAATGGCATGTTGTTATGCCCATTTTACAGATGAAGAAACAAGAGCTCATTAGCTTCTATGATTCAGCTTTTAGTCTTTGCATTCCAAGGATAAATCTCTTCCTACCAAGTAGTACTTCCTGTCTTGCTGTCTTGTTGAGACAGAGAATACAATTAGCAGGGTTTGGGAGCTAACATAGCAAAGTCACATCCATTATACGTGTTTGGTAATTTACATTTGAGAATGTTGCACAGACATCTATTCTTTCTCATGCACAGAGCATCTGCATGAAACTCTATCCATCTGAAGTTTGTCCTGCCTTTAAGGACCTTCATGAGAGTGCAGTTAAAGGTTGGGGGTGTAGCTCAGAGGCCGGGAATTTGCTAGCATGTGTGTGGCCCCAGGTTTGACTCCCAGTACTGCCAAGAAAAGCACATAGTTGAGATGGAGAAAGACAGAACCTACAAATACACCCATCCACAGCAACTCTCTAGAATGTGGTTGCTGCTGGCCTTTATCAGCAATGCTAGTTCTAGCAATGTTTCAAACTCATACTAGCTAGCTACTTAATGGTTTATTCAGCACTTACTTTGTAAAAGGATCACTATGAGCACCATAAAATTGGATCTCATGAAAACTCTTGGCTCAATTTAGACACTTAGTTATTTGGACTCAAGGAGGTTACATACCCAGATCTAATCAGTGGCAGAATCAGGATTCAAACTCTACTCTTCTGTGACTTCTTATCTTGGCAAACAATGTAGAGAACTAGCAAGAATAAAGGGGCTTAGATTCTAAAGATATAGATTCAGCTCCTATTCAATGGTCTCCATAAATATTTCTTAAATTGTTTTAATGCATTCTTTATGCTTAGCCAAAATTTACGATCACTTTCGTTTATTGTCCTAACTTGCATCATTAATATAAATTCACCAGTGTCTAAATCCAGTATTCTCGAATGTGTTCTGATCTATGCATATTAAAACAGGACCACAAAAATTTACAAACTCTAGGTAACATTTCCCTCAATACTTCAGTCACACAATTATGAAGTCCTAGCATCATTTCGAATCTCATTTTCTCATTCATTACACGAGGAAGGAGGGGACAGAGTCCTTTGTGAGGTCACTCAAACAGGACGAGGCAAAGCCAGAAAGTGGGAGACCCAACAATCTCAATTCCAAATGGGTTTAGTGAATCAGCCAGCAATTAGTATGCGGATGGGACCCATGCGGGATGTATCTGCATATTACGCTTGGCATCACACTTGGCCTTCCTTAGAATATTGGCTCTTATTGGTTCTCTATAGCCCATAAATAAAGTGCTTTATCTCCTCTGATCTCATCATGTGCCTTTGTGATGTGGACAGCACAGGGGCATTGTTTCCATTTGCAGATATGGAGAATGAGTCCCAGAGTGGGTAAGAACCCCTTTTCCATGCTGCCTGTCAGCACTAGAGCAAGACCATACTGCAGGGCAGTGCCTGGGCCGACCTCCCCACCTTCCTTCTTCCCTCTTGGCCTGAATGGGATACAGTGATTCACAGAGCACTGGCTTTGTGGTCATGAAGACAGGCACTGTTCTTTTCATCTGTGTGTGTCAGCAGCTGCTCATGATTTATTGAGTTAATTCTCCAGAAAGCCGAATGTGACTGCCTGAGTTCATATCTAACAGAGTAGTGAAGAACTTAAACTTTGCACCTGGTCTTCCATTTCCTTTGGCTGTTTTCTTTCCAGTTCTGTCATCATGGCACAGTGGGACCAGGGTGAAGTAAAAGAAGAGCCCAGGGTGTGGAATTTAAGGAGGTGTTCATCAGATATGTGTGTGCCAACCTGACAATGAGCAGCTCCCTAAGCTTTTCACTCTAAGTGTCTCATTTGCCCCCTCTAGTCCTAGTTTGGAACCTGGGACAAGTTCCTTAATTTCTATAAATTTCATCTATAATCAAACTCAAAATGCCAACCTCAACATCAAACTCAAAAGGCTGTTTTAAGGCTAAATGAGATGTCTTGTGCAGTGTGTGAAACATAAGAGTCACTCACAATTGGTGGCAGTTATTATCAGGGGTTCTGTCCTCAGTCCCTTGGACTTGGCTGCACAATCCTCCCCGCCTTCCAAAAGTTGCTCAAAACATAAACAGATCCTTTCTTATAGCTACTTTGTTTTTTTCCCATTTATTTTGCTTCAACTTCATCATGGCCCAGCTTTGCGCTTGTTCTAAGGGTCACTTTGAAACTGACCATCTGTCTTAGTTACTTCCTTGGGACAAAATACCCAACCTCCACAACTTAAAAGAGAAAAAGTTAATTTTAGCTCACATTTTTTAGAGGTTTCAGCCCATAGTTGGCTGGCTCCAAGGCAGGGTAGCATGGCAAAGCAAAATGGCAGAGGAGAAACAGTCCATGTCAGGGTAGGCAGGAGGCAGTGAAGCAGTGAGCCGCTCTTTTCTTTTTATTCTCTTCAGGCTACAAGCCCATTGGCTGGTGCCATCCACACCCAGTGTGGGCCTTCCATTATTCACATCCAGAACTACGTTTAACTAATCAGCAGTCTAATTTAGTTATTACACACCCTTAATCCATATTCACACTCCCTAGATCAGCCACCTCCAAAAAGCCCTATGTATGAATGAACACGTGAGGCTTTGGAGGGACATCTAGATACAATCCATAGCACTGTCCTTCTACTTTTACTAGAATTCTACAACTTATTAATTATGATACCATTAAAAATTACTTTGCCATTGTCTTTTGTTTCCCTCCTTATGGTATCTGGCAGGGAAAATAGAAACAAGAAGCAAAGCAAAAGCCTGAAAATGGTGGATTACCATTAATGAAGAGATAATGAAAGGCATTCTTAACATGTCTGCAAATCCAGATGCCTTGGCAATTTGTTTCAGGTGACAAATTTGGAAAAGTTTTTACTGTGTTCGGTTAGCCTGATGAATGATGCAAACTGGGAGGGGGACAGTTTAAGTTTAACAAATACAAATGGTATGGAAATTCCAAGGTAATTTTCTATAGTGCAGAATTTCAGTTTTCTACACTTTATTGGGAATTATTACCAGTTTACATGTATAAAGACCTTTATGTTCATTATATAGTAATACTGTGCCTTGGTTCATGAAAGTTTATGCTCATCAAAACTTTGGTTTGTAAACAGAAGTGTTCAGCAAAATTTTGCTTCCATTCATGAACTTCACATCACTTGACAAACATGACTGCTGTCATCTTCCCTGCACGACATGAACACAGCCTTCTTTCCCAGAATCATGGAATGAAGTAAGTCCATGAACCGAGTTACCATTGTCTTGATTGTCGGGTAAATTGGGAGCAGGACAGAAACAAACTCAGTCATTCTCGTAATATCTCCTCATTTGTTCACTCATTAAACACATTGGGAAATTTCAGTCAACACTGGCGTGAATATTTATCTGTGAACAATCGTAATAGCAATAATCCTACTAATACCAACATGTTTGGAATGCATAGTGTGTTCCAGGTAACATATTCAAATACCAGCTTTCCTATGTCTGTTTGACAGTTATCTTTCCAAAGAGATACTAGTGATTGTAAAATGTTTTGAAGACGAGAAAACTACTGGAGACAGACAGAGTTCAGGAAGAGATTTTGTCAGTTTTGACCGCAATACTCTTGCTGTTTCCATCGTACCCCAGAGATTCCGTAGTCCCAGGCATGGAGCTGAACTCCAGGAAAACAAATAGAAGAAGTAAAAGGTGCAGAGGTCTCTCTTAAAGAAGCTCAGTGTCCAGCAAAGATCACACTGACTTATGCATTGTACATGCCTCAGGGTATTAGTGCTGCATTCACATTTCACTCAGAACATGAGGGTTAACTAGACTCTGGGGTTCCTCCTTGATAACAGTAGGGAGGGGCAAGTGAAGTGGACTTCCGGTTATAAGAAACATCAAAGTGGAAAAATGCCCCGGAACTTTTTGTGGGATAAAATTAATTGTAAGATTTATAGGGACTTGAGCAAATGAATTATCCTAGCTCCTTGATTCTAAAGCGTGACTTGCACATTATTAAGAATATCTTATCATCATCAATGTTCACCTTCAAGGTTGCTGAGTTTTCTTTTCCCCTCCAATATCCTTATAAGGACATGGGATTTAAGGGATGAGCCCTTTAAATCTGGCATTTTAGAGTCAAAGAAACTTCCAAATTCCTCTCTTGCTTCTAGATTACCACACAAAGGTAAAAGTTAAAGCCCAAGGGCCCGAAAGAAAGATTGCTTCCACCCTGTGCACAAACTAAATTCAAGTGGTCTCTTTCACCAAAAGATAGCCAGGCTACTTCTAGGGCTGAGAACACACTTTTCCTTCTAGCTTTTGATTTAATAATCTGTCCTAATGATACTAAGCATTGGGCAATGATTGTATGGAACAAAGAAGAATTGAAGGACCTTGATTACTTATGATAGACAACATGTTTTATGCTCAGAGTGGCATCACACAACAAATTAATGAGTACTTTAAAATACAACCAACCTCTATATGTTAATGAGATAATGATAGCTATGGCAGCTTTTGCAAAACCTGGCTAATTTTATGTATAATAACAGAATTCATGTCACGAAACGCAATTATAAATACACTTCCAAAGTCTATGCTCAACTCCTTTCAGCTGAGCATAGGTATAATTATGCATAAAGTAATTTTTTCTTTTTTTGCAATTTGAAGTGTGGATATGTGTGTGGTGTTACAATGGCTATGGGATGAAAAGCAACACTAGGACTAATGGGAATTTTAAAATGTCAGCCCTGCAGTTCCCCAGAATTGTTTGGCAGGTCCTGGATGAGAAGGAAAATGTCAGGAAGATTTGCAGATGGGCCAAATGGCCAGCAAGACAAAGCCTGTCTGGTGGAAACTGATCTGTGGCTCCATGAAAAGTGGTCTTCCTGGCTTGATTTATAAAGATGACTCATCTTGCAAAATGCATTTTTCCTGAGGGGCTACGAGCACACAAGATGAAAGCTCAGAATCAGTACACTACTCTTGTCATTGTATCGCTTTCATCACCTTGAGAAGGTAGGATAACATATTTGTGGTTCTTTTGCTGGCCATGGACCACAAGATGGATTCTAATTTTGGTGGTACTATTGGAATAGTGGTACCCAAATAGCCAGTTACCCCTGAATTCCTGAGCTCCTGAGTGTAGCCCAGTTGAATGAGAGTGAGCAGACCCTGAGAGGCATCACCCACCTCTGGGTTTGAGCTGCTTCTCAGTTGTGGTTCTCATTATGGAGCTGAGCAGAGGCAGCACGCTTAAAATATACATGACTGGTACTGATATGGGCTTAATCCCTCTGTAGGTTCAACTTGTAGGTCTGGACTGGGGCCCTGTATCCTTCCAGGCCAAGATATCCTGCAGTGTAGACTGGCTAGAGAGAAACTTAGAAGACGCTATATCTCCCTGTGACAAATTTATTCAATGACTCTTCTTAGCGTTCTTACTAATAAGAGGCTGACTTGAAAAGAATAAACTGGTATACAGCTCAAAGTACCACCCCCAGCCATGGAAAAAGGCACTGATGAGGCCAGTATGAGGATTAACTGGGAGGATCCACGTGCAACACTGAACTTGGAGCCTGTTACATTTACTTATTATTAACAAAAACCAGAATTACAATTACAGATGTGAACACTGCTTATATCTGATACTCATTACCCAGCCACTGGCAAAAAGGTAATGGCAACTTTTAGCTAGAAGTCATTTAGATTTTTGAGATAGCCTGGGTAAAGTGCTACAACATATTTGAATACTGATACGTTGAAAGTAAAAAAAAAAAAAAAATTAGTCATTCATCACTTTGACAACTTATTCTACTCAAGAGCCCAGACATAGGAGTTTCTCATTCTCTTGAGTTTTATTAGTTATTAATCATTCTGAGTTCGTGACTGAGAGCATACTGAATGTCAACATTATACTTTATGTTAAGGACACATATATAGGGTAGTCTAACATTTTAATTTTGATCTAATTTTTTTCTCCCACAAGATAGGTATCCCAACTGCTTAAATTATGTTGCCCTTCCAAATGCAGAGACATGGCTATAAATTTAACACAAGGCTATATGTGTTCTTGTTTTCATCCACGCATTCGTCATTCAATAGACAATACATTAAGTGCCCTCCTCTGCACCAGGTTACTATCTTAGGTGCATGAGAGAAATAGTTGCAAAATAAATAGTCCCTTCCTTCTAGCTTATAAACATGTGACAGAGCCTGCCATGGAAACGGGTAATTTAGAATATGCATGTTAAGAAATACAGTGAGGCTGCAGAGAAAGAGCTAGCTGTCTAGAGAGGTTTCATTGGATGCTGACATGAAAGCTGAATGACAGATGAGTAGAAATTTTCCAGGGAAGGAAAGCAAGGAAGGAAGATAATTTGTTTTGAAGTAGAGCTGTGGAAATTCAGGGCTTCATATGTGAAATTCAGTCTGAAGAGAAGTGAGGGATGATGCTGCCTTGACAAGAGGCTGGGAAAGACCCGAGGCCGAGATAAAGAGTTTGGCAAAAGGAAGTCATGTGGGTGGTTTGGCTTTGCTTTGCTTTAAGTGAATAGACTTACACTTGCAGGAAACTGAGCAGACATTGCAGAGGGCCTCTTATTCCTTTTCCCTTCACACTTAGTTTCTCCTGGTGAGATGTTGGATTAGCCAATTAGTCACCAGAAGTTGTGAAGCAAGGTTATTTTAGGATGATCCTGGTAGATGTCTATGGATAGGGCTGAAGTCAGGCTTGGATGACAGTGAAGGCAGTGAGTTCATGTTGCCACTGTTAAATTTAAGATGCTATGGGACCCCAGGAAAAGAATTCGCACAAGTCTTAGGACAAGGACTGGAATATGGGATGATATAGATATCTTGAGCACTGTACACTTAAATGAAAAGCCCCAGTGAGCACTCAGAGAGTTTCAAGAGAGGTAAGAAAGGCCTAGAATAAAGCCCATAGAATTCCCAATGTTTAAGTGCCAATCAGGGTGGAAGATTCAGTAAACAAGGCAAGAGGGAGCAGCTCCAAAACAGGCAGAACCAGCAGACATGGAGTGCTGAGGTTTGGATATGGTGGAGGGTTCCTGACACTTCTTGAGATGAAGTTCATCATCATTGTGAGATAGTGAGAGAGTAAAAACTTAACTCCACTAGAAGGTTTGAAGGTGGGACCTTTGGAGGTGATTAAGATTACATAAGGTCATTAAGGCACTCATGACTGAATTTAGGTGGCTTTATAAGAAGAGAGTGAGACAACAGAAGAGACACACATGCACCACTGCTTTGGTGTGATACAACCAAGGGGATCCTCTCCAAAGGTGACCTCGTGCCAGCACCATGCCCTGAACTTCCAAAACTATGAGTCAAATAAGCATCTTTTCTTTGTAAAGTTAGCCTTCACCAGGTTTTTCATTATAGTAATGAAAAACTCACTAATCCACTAAGGAAGGAGATCATAAGATGTTGCAGACCATTCAGTAGAATCAAGTCGTCTTCAGAGTTTGTCTGAAAGTTTAGGATGTTTCAAAAAACAGCATTTTCAACAGTGTCAAGATGTGTGGCATGTAAACACAATCCCCTGTGAGCACTTCCTGTTTGGTAACAGTGACAAGTTTTGAAGGTTTACCAGGTCATTGCTGCCTTTGTGCCATCGTGAACTGTGCCCACATGTGCACAGCTTTGTAGGTGGCACCTGTGGGTGATGAGAACTATCCAGATCTTGCAGGATTTGAGCCCCTAGGGTCCTCTCTCACATCAAAAAGGGCCAGGACAAACATACGATGCACTTTGCTCCTCTTGAGCTAAATTTTAATAAAGATAGCAGAAAAATAACCCCACCTTTTAGGAGCCCCCTTGAACTTAAGGAAAAGCTGTGTGGATCTTTGGATCCGTTGGGGGCCCCTGGAATCATCTGAGAACTTTTTAGGTATTCCCTGGGGAGATGAGGTTTGAGATGGAAGCAGTTTAGATTTGAAAAGTCCTATGCAGTTCTAAGCTGCCCAGTGCCCAGCTGCTCTATTCTGCTCTGGATTTGCAACAAGAGGCTCTTGGGACTTTGGGTACTAAAATCTGTAGGAAGTTTTTGACATATGAAGTGCTCTTAGGAGACTTAGCAAGGAGCTCATAACCAATCTGCCTGGCAACCTGGCTTGATAGACTGACTAATCACATGACAAACCTCAGGATCCATGGCTGTTCTGTACTCTTTATAATCTCTTTCCATGGAGACCTGGGATATCAAGTTTTGTGCTCTTCTCAGATGGGGGCATCTGATGCTTGTTCGTACATCTACATTGGCTTTTTCTTTATGAAACTCAGTGTCTAAGCTGATATGCCAAACTGTGCTTCTTGGGGGGTGGGGGAACTGATGTGAACTTTTTAAAGTGTGGTGGATGCCCCTTTAAAAACATGTTATTAATGCCCTAGACTCCAGTTTTGAAGATACACAGGACAAAATAAGACATTTATGAGAGAAGGCACGACTGGTTGAGATGGGCCACAAGATGACATCTATTACCCTTATGTATTCTTCCTAGCGGGGTGCATCCTGGCTGTATAGATGTGAAGAAAAATTACCAGCCCACAGAACCTTTTCAAGGTCAAACAATTGATCTTAGGATAATACAGTCTGCACAATACAGATAATGAAATAAAACCACCAACATTGACCCTCTGATTCATTTTGGAAATGGGGTTCCCTGAAAGCCTGTTCCAATCCTCCATGCGGACGAAGAGCTGCTGTGGAGCTCAGGAGTCATTAACTATCTCTTGTTCCTGGTGCTGTACATTTGCCTCCCTCCCTAGTTAATAGAGCTTTCAGCGAGGGCTTCACAGTAGATACTGGGGTCGATTTTCTGCCTTAAATCATGCTGAGGCTATTTTGTGATGATTTTTGGAAAAGGGATAAAAGCAATAGAAAAGGTGCCTTGTAATAAACCCTTTGGAAAAACAACACAAACTCAAAGGCTACTGTTTTTCACCTGAAATATCTAAGGACAGTGTGAATCTTCCTTTTTAAACAAAGAATCATTTGGGTGTCTCATAGGCCTGGACCCTTGTTTTTGAATGAAAAATAACTTCAGTTATTCCACAGACAACCACATATTATTTAACATATATTGCCCTCTAGCAGGTGCCTCAGTATTGCAAGGATTGAATTCAGACAGTTTTCCCATGTCAGGCAAGTTCATGGAAAGGCTAGACTATCTCACCAACTCCCAGAGTTTGGATTTGAACATCAGTCAAAGTCAAAGCCCTGGTGCCTAGACTTGTGTTATTGGGTGGTAGTGGAACCTTTAAAACATGGGGCTGAGCAGGGGGTCTTGGCTCATTGAGGGTGTGCTCTAGAAAGGTTAGAGGGCCCCTGACCACCTCCTCACTCTCTTCTGTACAATGGCCGGGAAGTGAGTGGTTTCTCTCCCTAATTCACTCTCACCGTGATGTGCTCTCTTGCCATAGGCCTAAAGCTAAGGGCCAACTGATCATAAACTGGAATTTCTAAAACTGTGAGCCAAAATAAACCTTTTTTTCTGTGTCAGTTGATCATCTCAGATATGTGTTATATTTACAGAAAATTGGCTAACACATCAACTAAGGACAAAGAGTACCAAACTCGAAGCACTAAGCACTGATCTCTGCAGACAAGAAAAGAAATAAAAAATTAAAATGATCCTACAAAAAATCTGAAAAATCACATATGGCCACAATATTCATGATGGGGTTGAGTTTACATGGCATACGGAGTCAGATAGTGAAAAACAGTGAGTGATAATGAGGCTTTTAAGTCAGTGGGGATTTCCTGTGACCTGCTATACTCAACTCAGGGTTAAGTGTTTGGGGGATTTGCTCAAAACTATGCTATGACTAGATGTCTTATAAAGTGTTTCTCCCTATTTTCTTCCATGCTTCACCTTCTAGGCAGTCTGAATTTTCATGCCATTCAGAAATGATATGTTCCTCTCTGAGCTCCTTTATCATTTAGCCATTCTTGAGACGCCTGCCTTGTGTGGTCAGGCACCATAATTAGATACATATGTCACCTGTCCTTGGTTCAAACTTCCCTGAGGCTCAGAGACACGTTGCTTGCTGGACTGCCATAGTGCAGTGTGACCAAACTGATGTGGCTAAGATCTGCGCTTTGCTACTCCTTATCTGTCTTTGGACCTTAGTTTTCTCATCTGTAAAGTGGAAACATTCCCATTTTGATAACTTCCAGGAAGATTAGAGTCTGACCTGTTCATAGTAGGTATAGGTATCTAGTAGATAGTGGTAATTATTGTTGAGCATACTGGGTTTCCATATATATATTTTCATAGAGCTAATGAATGAAATTGAAATTTGACTTTTGGTTATTGTTTCCTACCTACTAGAAGATGAATAAAACTTGAAGGTGTTTATTTTCACTCAATAAAGATTATGGATTCATTTCTGCTATCAATGTGTAATTCAATGAAGTCTCTATGAGAAAAACATAATCTGGCCAAGGTAGTTTTCTTTTCCTACATTTTGAAACACATACCTTTTTCATTTTATTGAAAATTTATTTATTCATGTGAGAGTTGGTCAACTTTCACTGATACAGTGTCCTCTGACGGTCATTTATGTCTCTGTCACTAGATACCTGAGCTTTATAAGGCATGGACCGGCAAATACAAGACAATGTGTCTCTGGGTGGCCACCATTAGTTTCCAAGGTGTCGGCCATATTATGGCTGGTGGATTCACTTCAGAGCTGCTATACGCCATGGTTCTGTCAGCTGTGTCACAGAGGGAGAGGCATAGAGAAAACCTGCCCACTCCCCTCTCTTGGCTGGCCTGGGCCCCCTAAGTGTGTCCTACAAAAGCTGGACTTGGCTCTCATTTATGCACCACTGAAGAGCAGATGGGTCGCTCTAGAGAAACTGGGCCAATTGAGATGAGCAGCTCCATTTCCCAGTATTCCCTGCTGTGATGAGGAAAAGGGCCGCAGAGCTTGCTAGGGCTGGGTTAACAGATATGGAGGGCAACTAGGATCTTAGGGCGAGGGGCTTGGGGACATCATGCACTGATAGACGGTGGGAAGAGTGGGAAGCCTAGGCAATGAGTATGAAAGAGCGGTGGATTTAGGTGCTACTGAGTGTGTCTTCCAGGGAAACTCCGAGTATTTACTGCACATCCAAAGCCACAGCAAGACAGCCAGGAAGCTTTATGCTTGCCTTGGGCATTGGTGCATTTCCAAATTAACCCTCAGGAAGACTCCACCTGGAAAATGTACTGAAATCATCGAGCTTGGAGTTGATGCATGACTCACTGTACCTCCATTGCTCTATTACAAATGAACAGGATTTGCTTTCAGCTACTGGTAAAAATCATTTCTTTATTCACTCTGAAGACATTGCATGGTGCTCAATTCCATGCCCTTCACACTTTTTAATTCACTTCCCTGTTCAATTAATATAATTACAAAAATAAATCTAAAACTAATTATTCCTACATATAATTACATATCGCAGAACTCAGCACTTGTGAGATAAAGGCAGCCACAGCTATTTTGATGATAGTTCCTAATAGCTTGGAACTATAACTTAATTGCAGTTTAAGTTGGCACTGGATGTAAACAGCACCACTGCTATTATTTCAGGATGGTAGCTCTGTAAGGAAGAGTGGGTTACAGTTAAATTTTGATAGAAGGGTCAGTAGCTTCCATCAGTATCAAGAAAGCCAGCAGAACAGTGAGGAGATGTGAAATGAAATGACATGGGACCTGTTGGCCAAGCTGTGATCTTTAAGAAACAAAATTAATGGGCCAGGGATTTAGCTTCGTGGTTCAGGCACCTGCCTCACAAGTACCAGGACCCGAGTTCAATCCCCAGCACCAAAAAAAAAACAAAAAAAAGAAAAAAGAAAAAAGAAAAAAATTAACAAACAAACTTCCTGACTACCCAAGATCTATGCAGGTATTTTGGATTCTGGAGATGTCCATCTGTGCAACAATTAGGAGTCTTATTCTCCTCCCACCTCTATTGCCTCAGTATTGCTGTGCACTCATCATTTTTATCTTTCTCTTGCCTGTCATCCTTTCTTCTTTTCTCTGTGCAGTCACTTGGTACAGGTTACAAAAATGCAAGTCTGGTGATGACACTGCTCTGGTGAAAATAACCCAGTGGCTCTTTCCAACCAGGAGCAGAAGCCATTCCTATGTTGTCAGGCAAACCGTTCTAAGGACACTGAGATGAGCTGCTTTTTACCTACCATGTATCTATCACCTCCTCCCTCCAGTTCTTTCTATTGCCAGTGTGTCCAGTGCTGGCTGACTTGCAGTTCTGTGATCGCGGTTCTTAACGCCTGCATTTACCTGGATCATAATCATCAGCCTCTTTCTTATCTGCCTTTTGAGATAAAACAGCACCCGCTCTGTAGGCCTTCCTTGACTCCTACATGCAAGATAATCTCCATTGCAGATGCCAGCCACATCCTGGCTTTAATTCCACAGTTACGCTTAGCATATTTTACCATTCTTTGCAATTATGAATTATCTTTCACATTAGACTGTGCATACATTAAAGACAGCCATCAATCTTACATTTTATTTTTCCCTAGAACTTAACTGTCTGCTAGATCTATAATGGGCAGTCCACATACGATTATCCAGTTTTATTTTTGACCCAAAATGTTTTTTCCAGAAAACAGAAGATAGAGGGAGACTTAATAGTTGTCTTGCAGTATTTGATGGGTTGTGATATGGGCAAGGGTTTACACTTGTTTGGCCTGGCCCTGGGAAGAGAGCTTGGTCAATGCAGTGAAGTAGGTATTAGATCACTATAAAGAAGATCATCATAACTGTAGCTGCTCAAAGAGAGAACTGTCTCTCGAGATGGGTGGTGAGTTGCCAGTGATGGACTTACCTAGACCAAGCTGGAGATGTTGCAGAAATCATCTCAGTATCATTGGCATGACCACACTGGTTTTATTTCTCTTTTGAGATATATTAACAAAAATATGGCATTGGTGTTCATTACCCTAGCATTGTTTGTTTCAAAGAAAACAAAGCCATAAATAAAATTGCCAGAGTCTAAATTTGCTTTTATCAGTACCCTCACATGCTTGATATTAATTATTGAATATTTAAGATAACCACGACCAGGATAATTACTAAATATATGATGTAGTTCCAGTGAGGTTTGTAACACAATTTAACACTTAAGACTCTGAATATATTTTATTGTTTTGTACCAGGGATTGAACTTCAGACTTTGTGCTTGTGAGGCACCACTGTGTGGCAGCACCACTGAGCTGAATCCCCAGCCCAAGATTCTGAGTTTTGTGAATGATAGTTCATGTATATGGGGAATATCCTATTGATTCTTAAAGACAAACTTTAAAAAAAATCTTCTACCTTACTAATTTAAGCCAAAAGTGACAGGGACATTGTTACAATTTTTACTTGCAATTGATAGTTTGACATTTCACTACAGTTATAAAAGTGCCATCACTATTCGAGATTTTATATATCATATCATTTTATGCTTCCTGTTTTTTTTCTTATTGTAATAGTGTGGGGTTGAAACAAAGGATTATGGTGAATCTGAGATGCTGGGCCATTACGGTAGACAAAGTTAATCAATCATTTTCCTCTCTTTGAAACATGAGTTTTATTGCAAGGGGCAAAGCTTGGATAAGCTCTTTACATTATATAACCTCCTAAGTACAGTTTTCTGTTATCTAAATAAGGCCCCGGAGGAAAAT